AGTGGATGAGTGGAGTCGTGGTCTTTGAGTGCCATAATCGACGACAAGGAGTCGGTGTACAGACAGACTGAAGTCAATCCTCTGTTCAACACATATATCAGCGCTTCTCTGATTGCAACCATTTCTGACTGAAAGACAGAGCAGTGCTTCTCGAGTCTGAATTGTCGCTCCACTTCATGGGTGCCTTCGATGGACACAAACGCCGCCGAAGTCTTGTTATCGTCTTTCGATCCGTCCGTATAAATGCTTACTTCAGAGGGAAACTCATTGGTGTCTATCTGTGGTCTCATTCCCGGGTGGACTCGAGTGTAATAACCGACTCTCGGCTCAATCGCTTCGAAGTCAATGTTTTCACTGAAACTTCTGATGAATGGTTTGCTGTCTTCAGGCGTCGATTGGCTTCTCACGTGATATTCTGCAGCCAATTGTGCGACTCTTATGCCAATAGGCAATACGTTCGCCAAAACACATAACGAGTCGGTGGGCGCTGTCCTATAGGCCTGATTGGCGCGAATCAATGCATATCTCTGGACACCCGATAACTTGGATTTGTTGCTTAAGGTGAGTGCTCTGTCCGCCCAGACTGGAAGTGCGTATAAGAGGGCCGGTTCTATGGCTCGCATGTATATCGTCCGGAGGGAGTCCGGAGTCAGACCCTAAGTCACCCGAGCTATAGACGACAACTTTGTGATGGCTTCTCGACCTGTGGCGCAGACTATGTTGATGTGTCTCTCGAAGTCTAGTTTGGCGTCGATATGAACTCCTAAGTAGCTTATGGTCTCCGGATATCTCACAAACTTAATGGGCTTCCCATCGTATCGACACTTTGGGTTTCTCGGGGCAAACCTTGCCGTGAATTTACCCCTTGATTTAGGTCTCGGAGGCCAGAAGTGCATCGCTTGAGACTTATCAGGGTTTAGCCGAATACCAAACTTCTTACTCCAGTCGCATATGGTTTGAAGAGCCTCTGCTAATAGGACTTCTGTGTCATTCTTGATTTAGGTCTCGGAGGCCAGAAGTGCATCGCTTGAGACTTATCAGGGTTTAGCCGAATACCAAACTTCTTACTCCAGTCGTATATGGTTTGAAGAGCCTCTGCTAATAGGACTTCTGTGTCATGAGCTGTATCTCCATTTACTACAAGAAGGGCGTCGTCGGCATAGGCTTGAATTTGGGCTCCTTCTGGAAGCGACACCTGAAGGAGTCCGTCATATAAGGCGTTCCAGAGGTGAGGTCCGGCCGGACTTCCTTGCATCGCACCAGTGGTTACAATCCTTTCATGTCTGTGCGCTTCCGTCTCATAGACTACAGACCTCTCCGATAAGTAGTGACGAATCAGTTGATACAGGTTTCGAGGACAGTTGTGTGTCTTAAGTGCGGCCAATATGTGATGCCATTTCGCTGAATCAAAGGCTGACTGCACATCGAAAGACACCATAACTACCCATTCATTGTCGGCTATTTTCGGTTTGATATGAGCCATGAGAGCCATTATGGCATCGGTTGCGCTCTTCTGTGGGACAAAACCAAACTGACTGTCACTCAGTCTGTGATTTGACCGCAAATGCCATGTGATTCTGTTTACGAGAAGACAATCCAATCCTTTTCCGATGACTGAAAGCAAACAAATCGGTCTCTCTTCTGTGGGACGAAACCAAACTGATTGTCACTTAGTCTGTGATTTGACCGCAAATGCCATGTGATTCTGTTTACGAGAAGACAATCCAATCCTTTTCCGATGACTGAAAGCAAACAAATCGGTCGAAAAGCTTTGTATGTGTTGAGTGAATACGCGTTTGGTTTGGGAATAAACGTCACGATTGCTTGTTTGAAGACTTTAGGGAAACACGAATACTGGAGACATTTGTTGAAGAATAGTGTAATCTCTGTCAGAAGTATATCCAGAACTCGCTTTGCAATGAGAGGGCATATCATGTCAAGACCCGGAGCCTTCTTATTGCCCATACGATTGAAGACATGTCTGACCTCTGGTTCAGTGAATTCGATGTCGTCTTCGGTGTCCGGCTCTGTAATCACTTCATTCCTGTTCCTGGTATCCACTTCATTGTCATTCATTGGATCGTCGAATGGAAAATACGATGTCATCAACAGATCTACTGTTTCGGTCTCTGTCTCTGTGAATGTCTTGTCTGTGCGTTGAAGTGACTTCAGAGGTCCAGATGTCTTGCGTTTCAAACGAAACATTTTATACGCGACTCCGAAAGGGTCATCACTTGAAGAGTTTGAGATGAAGTCTTTGAATGACTTTTGTTTCGCTTTCTTAATGCATGTTTTGTATGCATTGAAAGCCCGGACGTATACTTCTTTTGCTTTTTCTCTTGATTTCTCATCAGATTCATTGAGATCTCGTCGAAGACCTCTGACTTCATCCCTTTGAATTGTTAGATCCGATGTCCACCATATCACTGATCGCTCACACGGTCTGGACTTCGGTATGGCTTTTACTGCGGTCTCACAGATTAAAGACATCAACGTATGCGCCGCTCTTTCTGTTGATTCAATCGAATCGATCGCTGAAATGACTTCACACAGGGTTTGCTTTTTAGACACAATTATATCTGTGAACAGATCCCAGTCCGCTCTCTTCGTGCAGTACTTCCGTGAGAGTGAGCGTTTGTTTTGGAGGTGTCTATCAATCACTATCTCGAAGTCGATATATCTGTGATCACTGATCGAGTCTTCTTCGGAGACAAACCAATTGACGGCTCGTTGTAGTAGTGGACGTCCGACTAATGTGAGGTCTATGTATGACTTCTTGAGGTTTCTATTCATGAAAGTTGGAGTCATTCCGTCGTTCAAGAGATATATGTCTGACGATGACATGAAGTCACAGAAATTGGTTCCCCTCTGGTCTTCACTCTGATGTGACATTAAACCCCAGGCCCCAGACTTTGCATTTGCATCGATTCCTATGCATAAGTTTTTGTTTGGCAGACAAGTGATGATATTATTTAAGAATCTGATGTCTTCATCGTTATCTGTGTTTGGCGAGTGATAGGCAGAGATGAAGTGGATTTGCTCTTCTGATGTCTCGATTGTCACTACTGTATGGTTGACATTAGACAAGTGTTGCGAGAAAAACACTGAAATATTAGCATTCATGACAACTATTGCAGTTCTCGGACTTCCAGACTCTGGTATGACACGAATGGGTTTCTTCTGAGCGGAAACTAATGGTCGACCAGTTTTGTGGTTAATTGGAACTTCGGATAGTAATAAAATATCAGCCATTTGTTCTTCAGATCGGTTAATCAGTTGATCGACGACTTGACTAGAGTTCTGACAATTGAGTTGAGTTATACGTATGTTTGGACTATATACACGACTTCCCGATGTGTTATCCATCGTAAGTCCAGTTTGTTCGGTCAAATTCGGACTTCAAGTAGCGCTCAAGTGATTTGCATTTGTCGTCCAGTGCCGAGTGATCTGTCCGTATATTGGGATTTTTGGTGCGATTTTTCTCATTGAGACAATTTGCGCAACAGATCTTGGATTTGTCAGACTTATGGGTGCAGTCTCTGTACAGATGATCTCCTGCACAGTGGGTACAGATAGGCTTTTCGTGTGGGCACAGGCTTTCCGTCACTCCGGAGGCGGTCTTTCGTGTCGATCGGTGACCAAAAGCACAACAATTGAAACATCTAGTGATTAGTATATAATCCTCGACAGGACTGATAACCCAATCGAGTCTAACTTTCTTCAGTCCTTTAAGTAGTTTCCGAAGGTTTGGTGTCACTTGTATTATGATGTCTGAGAAGTCGTTCTTTGCTTTGGTGTGGAAAACGAATTTCATGTCTTTCTTGAGTTCTTCAGCAGATTCGTACATCGATTTGATCGCTGGGTTGTGTGAATACAGTAGATCTGTGACCACAGTATCAGTGATGGGCGTGTCGTCGGATAGAGTCTTCGGAACTCCACTGATCCTCATTCTTGGGTCTCGTTTCATAGGCTCTCGGATTCGGTACTGACTGTTGAAGTTTGGTTCAGTTGTGAGGCGTTCTCTGAGTTTCTTCAGATCAGACATTGTTTCTGTGGCTATAATACAGCGACCATTCGCTGACTTACGGAGTGAAGCGATTCCGATCCCGAGGTCTATCGGACTGACAGTAGTTTTGAGCGCATTCTTCGTGGTGTTAGCGTCCGTGTGTTCGATGGGTTCGACTATCAATGGATGGTCTCTAACAGTTGTCTTCTTCTTGCGGCCTCTTCTGACTACTTCTGTCCAAAGGTCTGACTCTTGAGTGGAATCATTCGACTTAGAGATCGGAATCCTCTCCACGACTGTCTTCATGTCCGACATCCCTCTCGTCACAGACTCCTCTAATCGCTGAAGAGATTCTGGTCTCATATGTTCGACGACCGGAAGAATCTTATCGTTGAGCAGAGCTTCGATGCGATTGATGGCAATCTGTTGACTATCAAAGCGTGAGTTCGCACTCTTCAGGTGCAGGACTTGGTTCTGGAGGGCGTCCTTCTGTGCGTCCAGTTTTGCCACTTCTTGTCGACAGAAACTCAGTCCTTCGGTTAGATCGGCGACACATCTGATGATATGATTCTTGTGAGCGATTCCCACATTCTTCATATTCTCCTGGAAGTACTTCTGCAAGTGATCGATCACTTCTTTGGTGGACACCGACTCCACGTCGAAGATGTGGTCGCTTTCGTCTATGTCTTCGGTGTCAGACATCTCTCGTCCTCTGACCGCAGATGTACTCGAAGTCTGGGATCAGTTGTTTGTGAACTGAACGCTATTTATGGCGTACTCTATGATGCAATACACGTTTGTGTGAAATGTGTGACCACTTTATCGGTTGATTTCTCGATGTCTGACGGCTGTCAGCCTTAGACACCACTTCCGTCGGACTCCTGAGATACTTAAATGGATGACACAATCAAACGATTCACTAATGAAATCAATTTTAATTAAATTTTAACGATTTAAATGAGAGCACAAAATAAGACACTCTTAGCTCCAACGCATGCGTCGAAGCTTTTTTGATCAGAAGACTATTACAGCGAATGAAGAGAAAAGTAATTCAAAGACCGAAACAAATGAATCGCGTGTTAAAGAAGAGCCCGAAGACAGCGAATCCAATGCCAATGATTACCATAAAAGCCATGAATCGCACGAACAGACAATTAGCGCGCGAAGTGTCGATGAAATTCATGTCAAACCCTCCGAAGACACGAAACCAAACGAAAAGACTTTTAACACAAACACTACTGAAGTGAACGAAACGACTGGAGAGACGAGTGAATCAATTGGTGGCCAACGAGTAGTGGACACGACTTCGGAGTCGAGTCTTAAGACCACAAAATCCGTTGCCATGACTGACGCGGAAGTGGTGGCCAACGACATGGGTCTGTATGCCTGCGATCACCCCAACTGTTCGCGACTCATCTTAGGCTACGAGCCATTCCTGCGGCACAAGAGGTGCGGACCTCACGAGACACGCGACGGCCGATATCTATGCGATTACGACGGTTGCGGCGAAAGTTATACGAGTCTACGGGTGCTGAGAGCGCACAAAGCGACGCACCTGTCGCCCGATGGCTACCGGTGCTCGTGGGAGGGCTGCGCCGCCAAATATATCACTCCTAAAGGTCTCGAGAATCATATAAAACTAAAACACGGCTTACCGGTGGAGCACCGGTGCGATCGGGAGGGCTGTTCGTATCGGACGAGTGATAAAAAGGCGTTAATCGCACACCTGTTGACTCACGGGAGGGAACGGGAGTTCAAGTGCCCGGCCAATGGGTGCGGTAAAGTGTTTGCGTCGCTAAACGGTTTGACTGATCACGAGCTGGCCGTACATCCCGGAGCGGACATACAGTGGATGGAGTGCTCGAAAAAGGACTGTCACTATAAGACTAAGTCGGAGCGCTATATGCGGCGCCATAAGCAACGGCACGTCAAGAGCTACCTGTGCTCTCAGTGCGGGAAGTGCTACGAAAGTCAATACGTACTGCGACAGCATGGGAGCACACATAATGATGAGCTAAAGTACCGGTGCGAGTGGCCCGGGTGTGTGAAGTTTTTTGCGCAAAATGTTTGCTTAAGAAAGCATATGAATACACACACGCGTGAGGCTGTCTACCGGTGCCAATGGCCGGGCTGTAAGAAGTCGTCCGTTTGGAGGGAATGGGTGAGCGATCACGAGAGGAGACACAGAGGTATACCTGTGGGTCAGTATAGGTGTCATTGGCTTGAGTGTGAGTATAGGACTACCGGTAAACCCACTCTCGAGAGACATATGATTAGCACTCATGGGATGGTAGCCGACGACCAGTGCTCTGAAGTCGTGTCCAAACGTAAGACAAATGAATGCAATCTTATGGACAGACGTGTGAAGAGACCGAAGAAGTGATTGGTTT